CTGTTTTTACGCACACATACTTTGTTTGGATTAAAGTTTGTTTGGAACCCCTTTTTTAGGAAATAAATTTGTTAATAATTTTTTTTGAAGAATGTGTTATTAAAAAGTAAAAATAAAAAATAAAAATTTGTTTACAAGTAAAATTATTTTATTAGAAGAATGTGTGGTTAAAAATAAAATTTTATTCAAACATGGACTTTTGGTAATGAGATTTCACCAAGTAAATCTTAGGAAAGGTTTAATCAAATAATTTCTTTTATTCTAATAGATGAATTAGAGAGTAATAAACAATGAAAAAAGAAAATTCATATTCATATTCAAAATAAAAATTACCAACTCGTGTAGCACTTAAAATTTTCATGGACGCACATATTATTAGTTATTTACCCAGGATTAATCAGGTAAAAATTAAAACCTTCTCGCTAATCATAAGCATTTCAAGTACTAATGAAAAATTAACAAATAGCACCCAATGCAATCCATTAAGCCCTTGTTTGATGGTCATTATTTGGCCGAAAAAGTGTTTTGAATAGTGACTTTTATGAGAATGTGTACTAAAAATAGAGAAATTTTGTGTTTATGTGTAGAATATTTTGTGTAAATGTATAATTAAAACTAAGTATATAAAAAAAAAGAGCTTGAAAATAATTGTTGTCAAATAGAAACTAAGTAAAAAATAAAATGTTATTCATTATATTGAATACGACCACATGCACTATTTGAGCATAGTGTATTTTGCCAATTTGTTATTGTCATAAAATTTACATATTCGAGTGGCTCACATGTCACATGCCCAAACACGAAACTATCTTTCTTTCCTCTTGTGTCAATCAAGCATAGAGGTTAGGGACAAAATACAACTATTCTCCTACAATTATTTATACTTCCAACTAATCATTCTATAGCATTCATGCATCTGATGCTTGTTTCAACTAAAAGAAGAAATCCACCTAATTCTAATGATGTATTAAAGAACCACATTTCTCCTTTGTTTTTCTTTACTTTCACCCCTCTGATGCAGTTGCAGTTGTGTTTTTCAGTATCTGCAACCAGAAATAACAAGTTACCTCTATTTAATTAACATACGGAAATAATTCGGAGAGGAACTAGCGAGCAAATCGTTCCATTAGGACCGACCATGTTTCATTTTCTTTTTGTTACAATACTAGTCTAGTCGATCAAACTTGCTAAACATGTGTGTAACTATGGAAGAATGAATAAAAATGAAATATTGGTAGCTCGCTCACCTTTCTAAGCATTTGATTCTCATTTTGCAAAGTTGAAACCCTCTCTTCAAGTTCTGCATTTTTATTTTCCAAATCTTTGACTCTACCCTCCAAATCAATCAAGTATGCCTTCTTCCTCTCCCTAGCTTGTTGTGCTGACACTCGGTTTCTCAACAACCTAACAACAAAAATAAACCACAAATGTCCCTTCCTCAGAGCAAAACTAATATTGGGGGTAAAAAAACCAAACAAAAAAAGATTTGTTGACTGGGGTGGGGACTCAATCAGAAGAATTAAGCTCTTTGTACAGATGCTATGTACAAAAAGCATCGGAAGTAATGTTTAAGGGCAAAAAGGTTGGGGAAATCAGAAATGTAGCCGTTAGAATATTTGGCAACTTTATGCAGATTTTTTTCATAGAATTGTTTCACAAATAACACGTAGCAAAACATTATTGAAAGAGGACTAAACCTGTGAAACTTTACCTGTACCTAAAGGAATAATCTCTATAAATTAGAGTTTAAATTTGGCTCCACACCAAAGAACAAGTTTATTCCCCAAGTATAGGGATAGTTTCACAGATTTCCTATAGGGTGTTTCCGTTCGTCTGTTTTCTCTTCTTCTTCTTCTTCTTCTTTTATTTGGCACCTTGTAATGATGTTCTTCCATGTATTATCTGTGAAACAATTTTGATATTTGGAAAGAGTGGAATACAATCAGTCTTCAATTAGGCCCAATTATTTGTTACGTTACTTACCGTTTTAATCTCCTGTTTTCTCTTTCAGCTGGGTTTTTACCTATCCTCCTTTGCCCCCCACCTGAAACTTGAACCGGACGACTACCGGAAACTATTGGACCTCCGCCCATCTCCGGCACTCTTCTTATTTCATCATCACTTTCCAGACCTTCATAAATTTTCAAAATAATATGATTCATTGATCAATAACAAAAGTGTAACATCTCTAATATCTCTATGCTCTGTGAACTATGACCCAGATTTGCAAATCTCATATTCTTCAAAATCTCTAAAACCCAACAATATGTAAACATAAAATGCGACATAAATAATAATAAGTTTTAAATTTCAAAATTAAACGTAATTTTAATTTTTAATTTTCAATTTACATTTTAATAAAAATTTGAAACTTATGATTAATGGATTATAACTTATTATTTTCATTAATGTGGGGGTTATATTTGTCCCTATAAAAGGGAGTGATTTTCATGGCTTTAAATATAACATAAAAAGGATAAATTGATAGAATACAATCTACACTTTTATATTATTTTATATAGTTTTTGCAACTCGATAAAGGTTCATTCACTTATTTCCTTATGGTCGTGCACATAGAAGGAGAGCCGACTGTGAACCACATGTATTTTATCTTGAAGCCATGTAGCACCGAAAGTACCCACACGAGGAGGAGACAACACGAATTTAGGACAGCATTTTCGACATGACTCCCAAGACTTGCATTTTAACTCTTTTCATACTATTGAATTATAATGTTATCATATTCTTATGTACATATTATTTTTGAAATATGTTTATATTATTTAATTAATTATGTTAATTAATAATTTATCTACACACAAATCACCCAATTTTCTCAACAATCTAAAATCGTGTTCTGTGATTTGTGTGTAGATGATTTTATGGTAATATTTAAACGGTGAATTGTTTCATGTGATGATTGATTAATGTGTGCTTTGTGTATAAATAAACTTTTCTCTTAGATAAATCGTAAGTATGATCTTTAGTCAATAAATGTACCTTCCTTCTTTGATACACCCATATTTAGTTTTATGATGAAAATGTACTTTTCTTCTTCGATACACCCGGATTTAGTTTTCTGATGAACTTAATGTTAATAGTCTTTTCCTTTAGCTTCCATATTTATCTTACAATGGTAGAGAGTGCAAAAGAAATAATGATCTAATGACATAAAAGCATGTTTCTAGTTGGAAAAATAATAATAATAATAATAAAAATCGACCAAAACCACAAAAAGCAGACATGGAAAAGAATTCTTTAAAACCCAAAAGCGGCTTGACAATTAGAACTACTTTTCAACACAATATGCTATATTCCTTACAGCTTGGCTGAAAAATCTTTGTACAAAAACCGTGTTCCTTTTTAATTTTTTTTTTTTTTTTTAATTCCACTTCAACAAAAGCATCCAATTCCAAACTTGCTAGCCACTATTATTATAACATTTATGCTCTCTTTGTTTTGGAGTTTTAATTTGAGGTTTCATTTAGAGTACTTTTTATGTATCATTTACTTCTTTTCATGCTATTTTATCAATCTTAATAATTTTATTGATTAAAAATACTAATAATGGGACTATGTAACTACCAAAATTCATGTTACTACTCATTACTAACTTTGAGCATTTTGACTTGATATAATGATGTCATGGTGGATTTTGTCACAAATGGAAATAGAGAAAATAAAAAACAAACTAGTTAAATGAATGGAAAATAAGAAGTCTGAAAGCATATCTAATACAAGAAGTTGTGAAAGACGCACATTGAGATAAATGATTGTGCAGTTTTCTTTTGTGCAGCCATGAATTATTTGGATATTCTTTTGTAAACACTGACAAAGCATTGCAGATGAAATGAATTAAATGGCCAAGTTTTGTTTCTCTTTTATTCAGATGGAGTTTTCATTGACTTCATTTTTTGATATGCTTAAAAATTTGAGCACTTTTCGTTTGTTACAGTTTTTGCAAACAAACAAACTATTTACCCAAAAAAAAAAAAAAACAATTTCATTATTTGGAGCAATGTTTAGCGTTTCAAATTTAACTAAGAACATAGAATCTTTTCAACCTATCTTTATCGGAAACAAGATAAGCGATATGAAAGGATTGTGAAGATAAATTGAGAGGAAATAGGATTCACTCTCTCCCTCCAACCGCCTTTTATCTGGTTCAATAAGTTGTCCATCCTGCAGCTAACAATTTATGAACACTCCTCGGCTTGGCTGGAAGAAACTTTGTTCTCATTTCATCATTGATAAAACAAGCTGCTCTAAAAATGTTTTGTTTTGTGAATTTGATTTGTGGTATTGTTTTAATCTCATTCATATTCAGTGGTACTCCTATTTCGGTAGGCATTCTAAACATAACCAATTATTTGGTTATAATAATATTTTGCTAATGTGTTTAATAAGAATTGTGGATCTATTGGTGGATGAAAATCATAGAATGGTGGGAAACATGTGTATCAACTATCCCCACATCAAAAGAAATAAACTATAAGATCATATACTTACTCAATTCAAGTTGGATATCTTTGAAATATGGGGGTATTAAACTATTTAATAGAGTTCTCTTTTCTTTGGTCAATGCTTAAGGAAAAGTTGGACGAATATCTAAATGTCATACTTTTATCTATCTAAATTATTCTTATTTTTTGTGACACTAATATTTTGTGAAAGTTTTTAAGAGTACTTGGAGGCATGGAAATTTTCAAAGAAGTTCCACATGATGGGTATCTTTGGAATGTAGAGCTATTTAACATAAATACACCTTATATTTTCTTTTTCCTAGTTGTAAACTAACTCTTGAAAAGTGCTTAAAAAATGAAATTGAGAATTACAAGTAAAATGCAAGAGCTCATTAGATGCATCTTCCCAAACGTGTTACTAGAAGCCAATATCAGAAATTTCATGAAGTTGTCTTATTATAATTATATATGTTATTGACATTTTGGAAAAATTCTTAGGCGAATTTGCGAATTTGCAAATGTGCAGATGTGCAGGTGAAGAAGAAAAAATTGCAAATTAATGGTACCAATTTACTGTCCAAGAGCGATGTGAATAAATGTAATCCGAGATAAGAGCTCATTAGATGCATCTTCCCAAACGTGTTACTAGAAGCCAATATCAGAAATTTCATGAAGTTGTCTTATTATAATTATATATGTTATTGACATTTTGGAAAAATTCTTAGGCGAATTTGCGAATTTGCAAATGTGCAGATGTGCAGGTGAAGAAGAAAAAATTGCAAATTAATGGTACCAATTTACTGTCCAAGAGCGATGTGAATAAATGTAATCCGAGATGGACATGCATAAATCATCGAGGGAGATGAGCTTAAACGCACAAGGGGGTCACCTCCGTGAGTAAACCAACATTTATGATTGGAGATTCCATGAAAAATTTCAACGTGGTAGAAACAGCCCATACTGGGTAACTTGTAATAAAACTATATTATTTATGTTCATTCCTATGGTGATTGTGCTAATAAATGTGCTGTTAGGAAATGTTTAACTCATAATTAGTATTGAGGCGAGAATTCTAATGAGGTGTGGGTCACATGCATCTTTGGAGGACTCACTTATGTAAAAATTGTCATGAGACCATGACTATGAGATTGGATTATTCCCTAGAAACTCTTACTAGAATCAAGATTAGAGCGCATGACCATTAAGAGGGATACCTGCTATGAGTTAGAACCTAAATCGATATTATATGTGGAACAATTGAAATTTAGCTAAAGGGACCTAATTCGAGGCTTAATCCATTTTTGTTCCTTCAAATTGAAATTGTTAGCACTAAATAAGGTTGAAATTCAAAGACAACTACATCTAGTTTTCAATTTACATTTTAATACAATTTTGAAACTCATGGTTAATAGATTATAACTTATACAAAAATTGAATTTATTTTCATGAATGTGGGGTTTATATTTATTCCTATAAAAGAGAGTGATTTTCGTAGCTTTAAATATAACATAAAAAGGATAATTGATAGAATACACTCTACACTTCTATATTATTTTATGTAATTTTAGCAACTCGATAAAGGTTCGTTCACTTATCTTCCTATGGCCGTGCCCATAGAAGAAAAATCGGCTGTGAGGCATATAGATTTTATTTCGGAGCCGTATAGCGTCAAAATTATCTGCAAAAAGGGAGGCGACACGATTTTAAGATAACATCTTTGACTGATTCCCAAGTCTTGCATTCTAATTCTCTTCATATTATTGAATTATAATGTTATGATATCTTATGTATATATTATTTTTGAATTATATTTATGCTATTTAATTGATTATGTTAATTAATAATTTATCTACACCCAAATTACTAAATTTTCTCGACACATAATGGATTCGTGAATTATTCAACTAGTTATCATATTAAAACAAGAGCTACAATTTTTTTCCATAAATTACAGGGTATGATTTGCAACTAGCTGAAGAATTTAAGCCACAGTTAACAAAATAAATAAATAAATAAATAATTCAAATAAAATAATTCAATTGTTTAATAAAAGACAAAAGAGAGAGAGAGAGAGAGAGAGAGAGAGAGAGAGAGAGTACAGGAACCTTCCTTGACTTCAACGTGAAGGGCGGAGCTGGAAGACCTCTCACTACTTGAAGGCAATGAACTGGCTGCAATAGAACTAGTAGCTTGGTCTTGCATTTCCTTATAAATTAAATCAACCAAAAATAGATTGCAGAGAGAGAAACCAGAATAATTTAGAGAAACAGAGTTTTGAGAAGGGATGTTTAGCTGTCAGGACAAAATAAAATAAAAAGCAGCATGTGAATAATACAGTGAATAAGGGAGACAGGGGAAGTGGAGATGGCACTGAAGATGACCGTTGGATTGTCATTGATCGGACGGCTATGGAGTGAGAAGCGTGGAAGTGTTTTAAACCATAAAGTGTTGGTTTAATCAAAGGCCATGCAATGGGAGTCGTGGATTAATTGGAGCCGTTAGATTAAATGTCATCTGATGATCAGGAGTTTTAGAGTAGGTGCATAAATGTTGACCATCAATTTAGGCTGCCTATTTTCAGTTCGATAGAATTTATTTGGAGATAATGACTTGTTGAAAAGTATTTTTTGAAAAAAGTGTAATTAAAAAATAAGAAAATTTTATTGTTTTGTGTGCAGAATATTTTATTATGCGAATGTATGGTGAAAATGATTCTGTAACAAATAATGAAATTGAAGATTACAAGTGAAATGCAAGAGATTATCGGATGATCGAGTTTCAAAATTCCATGGCCAAAGGCAAGCGTGAATGCTCGGTGCAATGCACATATTTGGGCTGGACGACGCAAGTCAATGTGTTGGCTTTTGTGATGGAATCATGCTATAAGTACATTATTTTTCACAGCAAGGTTCACAGCACACTCTTGCAAAGGATGAGGTCCACAATTAAAATAATCGCATACGTCACATTTGTGAGGAAGTTGTGAAAAAATTGTGAAGGAAATGTTGTACAATCATCAATTTCCTTTGTGATAAGCAAGTGGCAGAGGCACAGATGCCTAATTTGGAGCTGCTTTAAGTAGAAAAAATTGTTTTTGTTCATATTCAAACACAACAATTATTGGTAGAAATATTGTTTATGTATAACTTGTGAGTAAATAAAAATTATGGTCAATAACATGATACAAAAATACAATGTAGTGTATGTTGTCATTATTACTTAAACACAACACCTTTACAGTACAGCTATTATATCTACGTAAACTAAGTAAAACAGTTTTGTTAGTAAACAATGGTTAATAAACATAATAAAAAATGCAATGTGAGTTTAACAATGTTATCATTACTCAAGTGCAATGATTCTTTTAGTTAAGAGTAATGTTATTATTATCATGATGATAGAACATCACTAATGTGACAATCCATTATCTCTCACATTTCTCTCTCCTGAGACCATGTCTCCCCTCCCTCTCTTTCATAAAAATTGAACGATCCAATTCCACTATTCCACATAGATTGTCACATTACCGATTTTTCATTATCATAATGATAAATAACAATATTATTTTGTTAAACAACTACAAGAAAACTTTGGGGACGCACTGCAAAGACTCGAGTGAAGACGGTTGTCGGCTAATATCTTGTTAAATTTGATTCCAATTTTCTTTGTTGTATGGTTAGTACTTAGTGAGTAAGTGGTAACAGGATTATGTTACTTAATGGGTCAGTAATGGGCCACAAATTTTGGGCTAGACAAATTATAATAGAAAGAATAATGAAAAGTCCAATTGTTTAATTTTTTTTAACGGGTAATCGATTAGGGGTGGGACGACAACACAAATACCGTACTCACACCGCCTCTAACCGGGTCACTAAAATCAAATACCATATCCGTCCATTGTACCATCAATTCAGTTTTTTTGCCCCATTTGTTCGGTTAACCACGATTTTCAATTTTGACGGTTCAAATTGCCATCCTAAAATTCATCACTATTGATTCTGGATTCCGGTTCACACAAGCTATTAAAGTCTTTTTTTCCTTTTTTGTGTGGTCCCATTTCAAAATAATTAATTAAATACCCTATTTATTTAACTTAAAATCTTGCTAAAAATTTAAGTTAAAATCAATAATTCATTTTAACCTAACTTTTTAACCATATATTTCATCAACTTTTATACTACAAAACTAGATAGACGCAACGTGCCTTAGGCATGCTATAGTATAGTTGGCTATTTAATAATGTATATATAAAAAATTATTTTGTTAAGTATTAGTTACATCAAACTTAAGCATCCGTTGTTAAATGTTCCTCGCAAACATATCTTAAAAAGTAATTATACTACTGAAATTATGATGCATGAGGCACCGAGTAACAAGAGATAGAAGAGTAGGTTACAACTTTCAAACCTAATAACACTAAAGTCAAATATTTGAAAGTCTTACTAATATAATGACATAGTCGTTTAACCTCTACAACCTCGTATTTCAAAACTCATTACAATTATCATTTCTATTTTTTAGCCCATCGGAATACCAAGTTACATGGGTTCCTTGATTCATTCACCTTTTATACCACCCAACATAACTTATGGTGCACTCCGCTAATCTCAGCCTACTGTTCACCATACCTAAGATCATATGCAATGTGTGTTAATTGACATCACAACAGAATTTGGAAGGATTCATTGTTGGAATGCAAAAGCGGAATTAGTCAGAAATTAAAAAATTTCTTTAATTTAAAAACAAGATCTTCTAGATGTTCACGTGCATATTATATCAAAAATAATGAATTAAAATTTTTACCTAAATTCGATGATCAATTCTTGAATTAATTCTAAATCACGAACTTCCAGCCTTTTGGATCACGAACTTCCAGCTTTCTAATTCCAAGAACTTGATGCTTCCAACCTCCAAGTCTTCTATGGTATTCTCCAAAGTCAAGACTACACCGGTGGGTGGGCACCTTCTTTTAATTAAATCAAGAAAACCAATTCTTGAACTGGACAATTGAAAAATCAAGAAAAACAAAAATTTTCTCTCTCTTTTTCTCTCTCCAAAAGTTGAACACCATGGAATTATGAATGTTATATAATTCTATTCCATTGGATGTCTATGATCCCTATAATCTCTATATATATAGAGACCAAAGAGTTCCAATCCTTATACATCAGTAATTCCACATTCAAATAGGAGTTCTAGTCGAAATCCAATTAGTTTACATTTAATTACATGTGTAGTCCTTTAACTTTAATTACAATTATAATTAAGTTTACAATTTTCGTAGTAATTACAACTAAGTACAAAACTTTATTGTAATTACAATTAAGCCCAAAACTATTATAATTACCGTAATTAAGTTCCAATACTTCATAGAGCTACCACAGGGACCTGATCGGACATATATTATCCAAGCTCCAATAATTAGATCCTGTCTAGTCGACCCTAGACCATCCAATCTAATTATTAGTCTTTGTTTTTTCCACTAAAGGCAAAAAACTGAACTCTAGGAATATATAAGATCACAGAAGCCAATAAATCTATAATACTTTCCTCTGACCTGCTGTACATGTATTTTATCCCCGTCCGAGATCCGATAATTAGGTACGAGCATAAATGACCGTTTTGCCCCTCTAATTATTTTCACTAACTTAAGTTTCATTTTCTTCAACGGTCATGTGAACTAATCACAGATGTCGAAGTTTAGCCGTCGCTAAACACTGAGCTCAGATTTTAACCGTTCAACAGAAAGTACTTAAGTAGTCACTCTACCCATATTTTAGGGTGACGGTTCCCGACATGAATTCATGTTCTCTACTCCACTCATTTTCAAGTTCCCAACTCATCGAGATATTTGACTAATCAAATTGATTTCACCCATTGATGAATCAAAGAACAATTAAAATCACGAAAAGATATACATAATCCTGTCAAGGGATTTAGATGAAATACACAGCGGTCTAGTGGAATTTAATTATCCGCACGGTCATGCTATAGAATTAAATTCGACACGCGGTCCGTTCAATACACTCCAAGTGTACTAGTGTCACCTTTAACTATTTCTGTGATAAGGACAAATCACAAATCACAAACCCAAATAGTGACTTGGTCAATGCTACAACCTTCCAGTACAAGGTGCAAACCCTTATACATTGGTTGTGAACAAATTATTTATGACCAAAATATAAGTTGTGTCACACTGTACTTCTCAGCGCAAGTACCCAACTTGTATTATCTCAAGTGATCATAGGCACTTTAATTTACATACTCAATAATAAATAATGCAACAAATAAATAAAACCACAATTTATTTATAATAAATGATTATTTTATCATAACAAAATATACTATATGGGCACACAACCCACCATTCATATCCTAAAGGACACAAAGTTTTATGCTAGCTTTCTCCTCGATGCAACCCTCCTCTTTTATATGGACTTAAGACCAGCTATAAAGAAATATGTAGATGGAGTTAGAAACAACTCTAGAACTCCGACATAAAAGCATCTGTATTTCCTATCGAATACAAAATTTAACTACTTGTTCAATGGACATTACACATTAATTTCCTTGAAATACAAAACCTAATGTTTCTAGGTAAAATATTGACATTGTAACGTAAGACAAATCCAGAACATCATTCAACATTAATATCTGTACCACATCCTTTATTTTCTTTCATACAATTCTAAGAGAAAACAAAATCATATGATGAGAAGCTCAAAATTATATCTAGAATGGGACAACAACTTCTACAAAATATTTGGAATGTGTGAGAATAAAAAAGTACATAAATGTTAAATAAGCTACATTCTCTCTAATTTATTAAGCTCATGTGAGACAAGTTTATTCTCCCTAGGTTTTTTTAGCTTGTTATTAGCCAAATACATCAAAAGGAATTAATATAAAGAAAAGACTACTCAAAATTTTCGCTTACAAAGCTGAATGTAATGGGTTAAAAAAAGAAAAAGAAAAAAACCCACTAAATCTCATGGATATGTTAAGATGGGCATGATGCACCTTACAGCCAAACTCTTATACTCATGTCAAGTGAATGCAAATAAAGTTAATCAGTTAAGCAGTAGAAAAAAGAAAGACAAGGGAAACAGAATAAGAAGTCCACATCCATTATTGCGTTATCTCACTCAACAAAAGCAGTAGCAACAAAACCTTGAAAAATTTCAGCTGTTTATCTGAGGGATAAAGCTAACACCAAATATATAGAGTCAACTAACTGAGTGACACACCCCGCTCCATGTAACATCACTAGATTCGGACGTGGCATGCGCCGATGATAGATACCAACTAAAAGTTGGACCCAGCACCAAAATTACTACAAATATAATATATCACTTTTTATACATCATTTTTCTAACAAAATTTCGGCATTATCTCCCCTGTAAACAGGACTAACCAACATGTGATCAATTTCACACAAATTCCAAATTATAGCACATCACAATAAAGATAAACTGAAATCTTCACTTTTACTAAGAACTACAATGAAATATACATATGGATATATAATACATAGTGAGCCCCATAACTATCTACAACTGATGCAAAATCACGTCTAGACATGAACATGCGTCCCAAAATATTGACTACATGTTCTATGAAGTGAGTCATACTAGCAAACTCTGTCGTGTGGCTACGACTCCAAAATCAAGGCTCAACTCCAAAAGATGCCGAGATTCTCAACTGCTGCCTGATAAGGAAAGACGTGGAAAAATATATGAGTTGATAGCTCAGTGAGTGGAGAAATTCAAAATAAATATACTTTTTCATTTATACATTTTTATTGAAAGTCAGATTCATATCATTTGATAATTCACAAGCTACCATCATGTAATTATAGCCAAAAAGTGAAATATTCACATAAGATCATAAAAATATCATCTTAAAATCATGATATAACATAAGCTAATAACCATGCTATAATCTCATCACATCAAACGTGTTGAAAAATTCACCAAAAATGTACCCTCTAACTGAAATATATAATCCGACCCTCGGGCTAGGAACTTTCGCCACGGGCCTCTGGCCCCTCCATGAACGAAAGTAGGTCTCAAAGACCTCTCATAATCAATTTTAGAACACGGTCAAAGCCCCTTTGTGAACTATATGTACACTATTTAGACCAATGTCAAGTCAAGACCCTCCGTGTAGGATAGAACACGGCCAAGGCCCCTCTATGAGCTAGAAGAAGTATATAATTATGAGTACTTTTCTAGCAGATCTCAATATTGCATGTCTCACATACCAAACAAATCTCAATATCACATGTCTTACATATCAAGTCACAAATATGCCATAAATAATCTTTGATATTTCACATGTATCATAACAAAAGAGATTTTCATAATAACCATGTAATTCGAACACATAATTATATATAATTGCACATATTTTAACAATATACTTAATTTATAAATACTTTAAAAATATTTACATTTTTCCACTTACAGAACTATGTACGTCAAAATCAACTCGATTGGTATACTGTCCCGATATCCGTATCGCCGCCTGAAACATAATATAATTTTTAAATAAACAATTAATTATTTTAAATAATTTCAATAATTAAATAGGCGATATCCAAATTTAATCATTTCACGTTTAGGTGATTTCTAAAGTCTCTTTAATTAGTAAAACTATTTTTCTTTCATTTTACTTAATTTTATAATTTATTATACTTAACCACTTCAATAAAATTAAATTTAATCTAACAATCTAACAACTATAAAATCAAACATAACTTTTCAATAAGTAACTTTTTACTTACTTTTCAAAATTGAGGAATTCAAATCTAATAGGATAGAGCACTTAATTCCTAACACATTGACAAAATTTCCCTTTTTTTTCTTCCTTTTCTTCCTCTTTTTTCCCCTCTTTTTCCTTTCTTTTTCTCTCTTTTTCTTGGTCCGTTTTCTTGTGTGTGTGTGTTGTGTGATATGTGTGTGTTGTTAAAGGTTGGATTACATATATATCTAATACATTGGAAATGGGTTGGTTTGTCGCCTGCCGTTTTTGTCTATTTCTTTTTAAATTTTTTTAATGTATTACACTGAGATATATAAAATACAACAAAATTTTCTTTTTGAAGTCCTAAATCAAAGATATTGAGGAAAATTGTATCATTTTGTCAAAATGGATATCACTTTATAGCCAGCAAAGTAGAGAAAGGTGTTGGTAAGCGTTGACTCATAATGTAGAGCAATTGACAATTAGGTTAGAATCTCAATAGTACTAAAAAATTCTTGTTCGCTACTATGTATATCTCCAATTGGCTCTAAATACACAGAACAAGATCAAAATGCAGTGTAAGCTAAGGGATCATGAAAGTGATGTTAAAGAGATCGTAGTAGTTCTCACTTCAATATATAAGCCTTTGATAGCTCTTATTGAAGATTTTGATTTTCTCTTGTGCAAGTAGCCAACTTCTTTTTCAGGTTTTCAATCTCTTGCTCCAATCCAGTTGTCCTATATAGAATCAAGGCGTTCTATTATTTTGGTGAAAAAGGAACAATCATTTCCCACTCCATTACCCCTCAATAGATAAAATGCTAGAGCAACAGAAGGGAAAAGTAAATCATAAGTGAAATTCACAAACAGTAAATAATTTTCACCACATCTGGAAATGCATTCTAGTGGCAACACCAAGATAAGCAGATCCAGCTTGCTGCACGCACAACTGTTCAATATCTTTATGCAACTGATCACGTTCTATATAAAAATCAATAAAATAACAGATAAACAACCAAGACCCTGGCTACTGTAAACTTTGTGACAGCATAAGCAAATGCTAAAATGCAGCCACATTGTTGAATTAGGAAAGAACATTCACAATAATCCTAATTACGATTTGTATTCTCAATATGTCCCCTAACCACAAAATGTCAAGTACATTTAAATCCTGAATTCTCCTCCTCATAACTTAGTGCCTGATTATGAACTTTGCCAGTAGTAAACACATAATCAACTTATACATCACAGGCCCATTGAAACTTTGTCTCAGAAGTCCAAAGAATTCAAACAAGTAGGGTATAGCACAAAATATTCTTCTTGTTCCAATGATACACACAAACAATCAATCCAGGGAAAAATATTTTGTAGCGTATAAAAGATAATTCTTAAAACAGTTGAATTGATGAGCATGTGCACCGTGCTCCAATTGTTTGATGCGTGCAATAAACGACTCATTGTCGACTAAGTTATAATCCATGGCTAAAAAACAAAAACCCACAAACCAATATTTATAGTCTTCTCATATGAGGATCAATAATATTAATCAATTGCACACAATAACCCTAGAAAATTAAACTAAAAAGAAGACAAAAATTTCTAGGAAAAAAATTAAACATTTGTCCTTTTATAGTAATTATTATTATTATTATTATTATTTTTTTTTTGGTTTTATAATGATGTTAAGAGAGAGAGAGAGAGAGAGAGAGAAATTGTTGCAAAAAATGGAAAAGAATCTGTTCACCTCTTCCAAACCCAAAACATAATCCGTTATGCTCTCCAATTGAGCCCTCCATCCCCACATCCCTATGGATAATTCAATAGTGACTGATTATATGATTAGGTCACTCGCCTTTAGGTTCTCATTTTGCATAGAAACTGACAGGTTTTGCATCCCATTTAACAATTGATCTCTTTTTGAGTTGTCATCTATCTCCATTTCAGGTAAAAGCTTTGATGACAACATAGCAGGTAGAGCTGTATCTCAAAAATTAGTAAATTATGCTTTCATTCTTCAAGATGATTACATTATCTTTCGTAATATATCCACCAATATTCCAAATTGTTTCATAAACAAATGAAATTAACATCAAAATACAGGAAAGGAAGTACGCAATAATAGAGTCATAAATCACATTCCAATATCCTATTCAATTCCATCAAAAAACTACTATTTTCTTATCTTTTTTTCTCATAGTGAGTTATTTTAGATAATGTGTAAAAATAAATTCAAGGAAAGAGAGAATTCTTACATAACAGACTTTAAGAGAAGGGGAGAGAGAGAGAAGGGTCGGGAAATTTCTCTTCAAGGATATTACTTAAACATTGGACCAATGTTGCCATCAACGTTCTATTCATGTAAGTATACCTTCCCTAAGTTTAATGCTTTAGATTTATCAAATTACATAAATTTCCCCGTGTTTTTAAATGTATCAAAAGTTCCATGTCTAAGAGAGAAGGAAAGCTAAAAATACTCACAAATAATGCAAGGAGCTCTTACAGTTTTTACTTTCCAATCTTTTATTGACTATTTTCAGTGCATCCTTTGCTTTCGATTTTATGACACTAAGACAAAATATCATTTACTTCAACCTTTACTAAAGGAGGCTAAAAGTACAGATATGAGAGGTACTGGTTTAAGAAAGCTTTTTTTAGCTCTAGCCAACTCTTAATGCTCAGAGGAGGCAGCCTGTTGTACCACACTTCAGCAGCTCCGGGCAGGGTTAGGCAGAAGGCACTGCATTTCAAAGCAGGCGAGGCTCCTCTGAGACTCATCTATGTCATGTACTTCGTGAGGTGCTTCTTCAGATCCCCTTTTCCTTCATACTTGGGGATTATAGGTGGTACGAAGTTCGCAAGTGTTGGGGAGCCTCAGATCTCCCTTGGGGAGATTATCATCATCATCATCAATTTCGCAGGATCGACACGGCCCTTCGGAGTCCCCATCATCTTGCATGTTCTGGGGGAGTGGAGGTACTCTTCCTCGGCTACCCCAATCAACTAAGTTTCTTCTCTCCTTCCTATTTCTAGGTGGAAGGGGCACTTGTTCTTGCTCTTCTCCTTATCGAACTGATCTTTCCACTAAGCGGGCCCTATTATTAGGGTCCCACCCTATCCAGTCAAAGACATTGACTGACGTTTGTGCTTCATATTCTGGTGGGTAGTTGTCCCCTAATTGCGGCTCTGTTGGCTGGCTCCCTTGCACATAGGATGTGACTTCCGTACCCACTTCTCTCTTGAGGGGGTTGTGCTGGTTCATATGGCTTCGGGAACGAGACGCGGGGACTTCACAAGCTGGGTGAGATTCTTGGGGCATTTGGGCGTGCTGGTGACCTTGGGCTCGCATGAAGAATTCATGCATCGCCATATTCTGAGCTGCGATCTGTTTTATGCTCCCAGCTATTTGGGTCATTCCTTCATTGAGCATGGCCATTTTTTCACCTCAACGACGTCGGTGATGGGGTCTTTGGTGAGTGACATTGTTTCGGAGCACATCTTCTTCAGAGACGTCCATCCTGGGGTTTGCATCCTCAATGCTGGAACTCATCTTCTCTACTCCTTTTTCAAGGGTGATGGGGATCTAGGTTGTAATTTGACTTTGTTCTTTTTCAAAAAGTCTCCTTTTCAGGGTAAGTCAAGGTTTTTTGGTGGCTTTTTCGGTGGAGAATGTAGAACTTTGGATGGGAAGTTTTCCACAGACGGCGCCAATCTATTGACCTTGCAAATTAGACCCTCTACGTGGCTAACTGATAGCTGCTCCACGTAATCCTCCCTGCGCACGATCAACGCACGATCAGATGCACACGATTGGAACTAGCGGGAGTGGCAGTGGCCGCATACACTTCGACGGTCAAGTTAGCTTCTGGTGATCGGAACAGTGCCAAAGTTGTGCAAAAAGGATGGGGAGGAATATATATATTTACTTGTTGTGGAGAGCTAAGTTGTAAGAGTTTCATTCCCTTTGCCTCTTGTCGAACCTTGAGTATTTATAGTTGAGGAGAACTATTAGATATGGGATACGTGTATGCATCTAACGGTGTGAAGCGTATGCTCATAAGCGTTAATCAACCACGTCTATAGAGTGGGCGGGTAATAACTTCTTCCGAGTTGAGTTGACATAAAGTTGATACATCACATCAACTAGGCCCATGGAGATGTCAAATCAATTAAACTTTGGGGGCAGAAAGGATCTTGACACAGATCTCTTTCTGAAATTGATGACGGATCCTCTGACAGAGATCCTCGGAGTGCATTGCGCTTCGACGTCAGAGGCAAGAACTCTTCGGTTGGTTCGGTAGAATTGTTTGTGCCTCGTAGCACGTTAGCAGCTCGCCAACATTAGTGGTGGAGTCATTTTGGAACCACTTTGGATGTGTGTTGGACACCTCGTATGATGCAGTGGCAGACTTTCCGAAGTGGTTCAGATAGGGGCATAACATTTGGTATTATTATTTTTTTTTATCGGTATTTTTGTTTGGTATTATTGGTTGATGCTATTGCTTGTATTATTTTTTATCGATATTAATTATTTGCTTGGTATTATTGGTTAATGCTATTGCTGCACATGAACTTGGAATCTGTTGGGGATTTAATTTTTGTTTTTCTTATTTTGTACATCAAATGTCGGTAGCAGTCGTTGGGTGAAAGGAAAGCTTTTTCCTTTTTTTCTCCTAAATCGTGTGCGTTGTAAACTAGCATAGAGTATTGGTTTGGATATTATGTACGTTGTTTCCAATTGCATTATACTAGACCCAACACAATGTTTTGGATGATTTTGTTCTTGCTTATGAGTCGGTTTTCATTTCGCACTATCTTGTGGTCACTAATATTAAGTTAGTGTTTGTCTAGCAATGAATAGAACAAGAAGGCGAAAAATTACATGTAATTGATCCCAATTTTGTTAGGGAAAATGCTTTGGTGATTGCATTTAATTTTTAAACTTCCAATGACTTTTATCCCTCTCTATTTGGGTCGACACACTACACGGGAACTCTTGCACATTTTAAAGAGGGAATTTTTGGAGTGACTGATCATGGTTAGACGACTTTTGATAAATCTAATGTTCAATTTAATCAAATTATCAAGTTTTTCTCTATATTTAATATCAGCTTACGATGTGCCGTGGTTTATTCTCTGCTTATGATGGCAGGAAAGAATCAAGGATTATGTTATAGTTGTAGAGAAAAGGGGCATTTTTTGCGGTCTGTGTTAGGAGAAATGCCGTTGCCCATGGTGCGAACATGCATTTGTCAAGTGTTTTGAGAAGGAGAAAGAGAGTGAGAATAAAGGTAGATTATTCAATACTTGTACTACAAACTGTGGATATTGGGAGTGGGTCAAAGATGGTGAATCAAGTGCACTTAGCATAACTTTGACGAGTCATGTGACGAGGGAAGAAGTTGAAGAACTATCTTTCACATTTCAATCTCAATGCCGATTATTTGATCAACGGGATGTGGAGATGTCTTTTAACGTGACAATACACAAAGGAAGAGCAAATGAGAACGGAGAGTAGAAGGAAAGGGACGTGAAAGAGTGCAATGGTTAATTTAATGAACTTATTCACTTATTTATTTCCGACAATAGCAGTTTCATCGCTATGATGTAGTAGTTAAGTAATGTTGTTTTGTAATTGTTGTTGTTGTATGAGAACTAAATATCCATTGTCTAGATGGTACTAGCATTTTTTTTATGCGATGTGGATGGGTTGGACTTGGTTTTCAAGGAATGTGTAGTGTCAATGGTTGACTTTTCAGTTTGTCGTAGTTTTATTAGTGACCAGCTAGGTCATGGAAGCCTATTTTGGCTACCATTAGAGAGATATCATTTAACACGAGAAGTGAATCAGATTTACAATAAACTAAGAGCATCTTTTCTTCACACACCAAGTGTGATGCGCCGAAAAACGTTGCTTTTTTTTTTTTTTTTCAAGAAGAGGAGCCAAACGCGCTCTAAATATCAAGATTGTATATTAGTTTAGATGGAAAGGTTTTTCTATTGCTTGAGGTGAGCATTTATAGGGGTTCTTGTTCAAAAGTTGGGGAGATCTTTTATGATTCATAACAGCGTGCAAAATTACTTAGTTGCAAGTTTAAAAATCGGTAGTCTTCAGTTCATCATACCAAATCCTGTCTCAAGTATCTGTAATAAACCTTCAAACAAGTGCAATTGCAACTAAATAAAAAATAACTCAACCAACTATTTTTTACAAAAGCAGTCAAAAAATACAATAGAGGACTCAACCTTTTAATATCCTTCAAACAAAGACAACTTCTTCCAATGGTTAAACAACAATGCCATAACAAATAGCATAACAATATTTTCCCCAATTGAGAAATAAATTGAACACAACAACCATGAAATCCTGTATTAGTTTCAATACATCCCCATGCTTGCATGGTCAAAAAGTATGATTGAATTGCTACGCGTCACCTTCTCCGAGTCTTAGCCTCCTAACTCGCTTAACATAGTTTCGATAGTCCTTCTCAATGCAGGCCATATTCTCATATCCACCTCCTACGATAATTGCATAGTTGAAACTTTTGTGCAGTGG